GAGTGCAATGGCTGATTTTCTTTCTCTCTCTCTTAAAAGGAAGTTGCTAAACTTGTTACTGGAAAGAGTCAGATTCCTTAGATTGTTCCATATGCCCAAATCTGACAGTTACACTGGCACACTTTGATTCCCCATTTCAAAAACGAGTGTGGAGACGCAACTGAGCGACTTCCATGTCACATCCTGTTCTCTCAATCCAGCTTTTGACATTTGCAGAGGACTCTTCCAAGGGAATAAACTAAGCGCGGAGAGAACACAGTTTTTTCCCTTTAAGACGTCTCTTCTTTTAACATATTCTTCATCAAAGATGCACTAGAAAACACTGTCTAGTGCGTAGAGAAGGTGTAATTTTTCAGTTTCTCACTGAGACGCAGGTTGGCAAATAGGTTAATTTTAACTTCACAGATTGCAAGGTGTGTGAACAGAACAGCTATATCAAGAACAAAATAGTGCTGAGAAGAAAGAGTTGCTCTGAACCACCAAGGTGTTTTATCCCTAAGGTCATAGAGGGCGTGGGGGACTATTGCATGAACTACTGAAACAGCACTGGGTTGGGGAACCTCAACAATACATGCCCCTTTAGCTCTTATCAGGAATAGAGAAGGGAGTGGAACATGAAAGGAAGAAAGGACATCCACCTTTTACATAGATAATAATTATACCTAACACTGCATACCAGACTAGGAATGTAACACACGTGCTCTCATTTAATCCTTACCACAACTCTATGAGAAAGGGACAATTTCAGTCTCCTTTTGTAGATGGGGAAGCTAGGGCTCAGAGAAGTTAAATAATTGCTTGAAATCACACCGCTGGTGTGTGTGGCAGTGAGATTTGCACCAAGGTCTGTCTGCCTTCAGAGCCCACACCCCATTTCTCCACCCTGGCTTGTGCCATAAACACAATGATAAGAAAAGATTGTTTGCTGTGAACCCTCAGTTGCCCAGGGCCTCTTACACAGTTTATGGATTACCCAGCCTCTCACGACTTTCTTCCCAGCGCCCATTTGTTAGATCCTCCTTCAGAAGAGTGAGCACTCAGGGGCTGAGGGCAGGGGAAGGAAAAAAAACAAGGCGATTTGACATACCAGGTACCAGACCCATGGAGGAAGTAATTAAACCCAATGGGTAGAGTGAGATTTAGGGATTATCTACATGTTTCAGTTGTCAAAAGTATTCACTGTTCTTCATAAACCTACATAATCAAGTTGGCTCCAAAGCAGTTTTGTTTGCTTTGCCCTTTTACCCACCTAATTAGCCTAGACAAAGACTTCACCTCTGATTTTAGATGAACAAAGTCATTCTGTATGAAACACAACTGGTTCTGCAAGTCATCAGCAGCAAGGGCCCACCCTTAGATTAAATACAATTTAAGGCCAGTAATGAGCAAGGTCATTAAGTCATTTTAAGGCCTCTTACTCCTACTGCCTACCCAAGTAGGGTGTGTTTATTCATTTTCAAATGCCAGAAAAGTCCAAAGAAAGATATCATGCTCATCTTAATAAAGAGTGGATCTTAAAGTGTGTAGCTTCAATACAAATGACTTAGATTCACAGTTATGTCATTCCGTGGGCTAGACCCTAGTCTCAATGATAGAAAATACATACACACACATACACAAATACATACCCAAATGTTTTCAGTGATAATATATTGAATTAAGTAAAGCTTTGTTAAATGCTTTGTTAAAAAACTGAGTGTTAGCCTTAGGATATTAAATGACTTTCTTGGGGAATGAAGGCCGAATGTTGTTCCTGTGTGATTTGGGGGCAAAGTAGACAGAGCTGGGGCAGCATGGAGTGCTGAAGTTTTGTAACCTTGTATATTAAAATAAATATTTCTCCTTGGATGAAGTCATAGTTATCTGAATGCTTTGGGAAAAAAGAGCTCCCTTTTGAATCTTTTTGACAAGATTTACTGCTTGAATGAAATATGTCTATTCCTACAGGTCAAATAGCTATTGATTGATAAGCAGACACCAGCAGAAACTGCTGGCTGCTCACTAAAACCCGGTTCTCCACTTCTTCCTGGGAGCACAGGTAGACATATTTCCCACCCTCCTCTAGATGTGGCCATGTAGCCAGTAGAATGTGGACAGAAGTTATGTGTGCCGCTTCCAGGCCTGGCCTGTAAGAGCCTTCCATGCATACTCCTCTATGCCCTTTTCCCCTACCAACTGTGCACTTGGAAGCCACATGTTGAAGATGGCACAGCCTCTATCAGCCTGGGCCCTAAATGACTTCTTGAAAGAGGGCCACCCTTCTGACCTGTTCACTTGCCCAGGATTACCATGTGAGCAAGAAATAAACAACTATTGTGTTTTAGCCATAATATATTTTGGGGTCTATTCTTATGGCAGTTAGCCTATCCTAACTCATACAGCCACATTTTTCAGGCAAAAATCAGCACCAAATTTGCTAAAATTATTTCAGTTTTGACTGACCTCCTGGGTATTACTCAGTAGAAGCATTAACCACCTATAGGTAAGTCCCTATTGTTATTTACCTAGAAGCACAGCTACATAGGGAAGCTTGACTGCAAATCAACATCTATAAATCAGAATATCTGCCCTTGAGATTTTTCACTGAGGACTCATTTTGAAACAACTGTTGGTTTTCTCTGTCCAGAGAGCCTTGACATGTGCAAAGTACCTTTCCTAATTCACAGGCCAAGAGTTTCTAACGATGCCTCCGTTTCAGCCTATCTAGAGAATGAGTACCACTCTCTTTGAAGTGGCTCCCAGGAACCTCACAAGTGAATTTCTGGTATGCCATACAGTAATTCTTTGAGTAAGATTATTTAACTTTATTTACACAAATTGTGTATCAATTCCCATATCAACTGAAGGCATAAAAAGAATTTTCAGTATTTTGAACAATGTAAGGACCAACTTTCTAGTTGTTCATGAAACCTGTGTAAGGTAAATGCTGTTTTCTTCGATATTCCATGCAATTATTCTGAAGTATTTTTAAAAAATGCTTTAAAAAACATTTTTAAATGATTTTTTGAAAATCTGCATAAACAGCATGTATAAATTATCTGCTGAAGTACGCAAATTAATTTGTTCACATACAAGAACACCAACAGCCCTCTTCCTCATACTTCCCTCCCCGTTACTGAAGAACAAGTATTTTGAGGAAGTTATTTAATTCCTTAGTTTCTGACTTCACAGATTGCTGGGACAGGAAATCAGAATAGGGACCAGAGCAGAGGCTAGTTTTAGAAATTGGGGAGGAGGTTAAGAGAAAGATAGAAGAAAAGATGTGAGGGAAAGGAAAGATCTAAGCGTAAAAACAAGGGAAAGAAAGCACCATGCTCAGAAAACCAGGGAAGGAGGGTTGGGAGGGTGTAGAGTAGTTAGTTATGCAGTGACCAAAGGAGAGGGTGAGTCAGTGGACAGTCCCCTCATAGACTGCTTGAAGCAGCTCAGTAATGTGACCAGTATATTAAGGTTTCATTGTGCTGTGAATTATAAATTCAGAGTACATTTACTTTGAATGCTCAAATCACAATAGTTCTCCCTACAAATGAAGTTCTCAGCCTCCTTGCCCAACCCCTGCAAAGGGCTCCCCCCACGTTATTTGTGAAGCCTCCAAAGGAGTGCATCCTATGTGCGTAAAAAAAACAGTCCACTAGTCACCAATTGGTATCTTCCATGGTTGATATCCACTACCCTAATTGAAGAGGACTCTTGGTTACCGCTGTTAACACATCCCTTATGGGATCATCAACCAGCTCGTGGGCGGGAAGGTGGGGGAGCTGTTGGCTATGGTAAAATGAAAAAGCCAAATTAACGACCTGGGGCTGGACATCCACCTGCCTTCTCATCCAAATTCAGCTCATGTTAGTCACTGGCCAAATTAAGTAACTTTTCGGTGATGTGTTCTTTCCACACTTCAGTTCTTCCTCTGTTTCCTCTAATCTTGATTTCTTTGTAAACATGTCTTGGAGGCAAAAGGAATATGATCTCAAAATGGATTCCTGTTTTGGTTTTTGAGGTCTGCCAGTAATTTGTACCATCTAAGGACATCAGAAGAAGCTATTTTGACCATAACCAGATGGCTGCAGCTTCCCAAATTATCTGTATCTTCAGTGTAACATTATTTTCCCATTTGTTTTATGGAACTTTTTGTGAGTCTATTGGTATCTTTTATTTCAGCAATGAAAATTTCCCCAAGGAACATCTTTTCAGTCTCCCTCTCAGCTTTTTCCTAATAGTTGTAAATTGTGAGGTTAAAATATGAATTGAATAATCTATTTGACTTTATAATGCTGCAAAGAAACATCAGTAACTTCCCAGTAGGCCATGGTAATTTACACATAAAAATTAGTGTGAGTTCAAGTCTCAGTGTCTCAATACCCTACCCCCAATTCCCCCTAAAATCAGCCTCAACTCAAAAAAAAAAAGAATGAAATTTAAAAAACATAATATATACTGTGTGTACATAAAATTTTATATATTATGTAAGAGGTGTGTGTGTGTGTGTGTGTGTGTGTGTGTGTGTGTATACACACAAACTTTAGGGATATGTGGTTATACAAAAGTCTAAATTTCAACCAAAATTGGGAAGAAGATAAAAAGAAGACCCTAAACTCTGGTAACTGGACTTAGTAAGGAGTTATTAATAAGAATTGATTTGATTAGGAAAGGATTTAAATGGAAACAACAGAAAAGCTGTAATTACTGTCATTGGACTGAAACTCACTCTCTCTCTTAGAGATGTGCTCCTTTTTAGAAAGACAGCAAGCTTGACCGAAGCCTCTTCATTGCATAGGGCAAGGGTAGGAGATGGTGACTGAGAAGTCTACACAAGACCACCAGTACTTTTGTACCCATTCCAGTCCTTCAACTGTATCTTTGCGTAGGCTGGTGTTACTCTGGCAACACAGTGATAAACAATGCCTCTTTCAATGTAGCCTGCCCTGGTAAAGGCTTTAACTGGCAGTTAAGGAGGAAACCAGACAGAAAAGGGAAGATGGCTATGAGGTGGGGTGGGGCTGAATCTGGAGGATGTTGTTATAGAAGCAGAGAGGGTTGGAGTATTAGACTGCATTTTTCTGCACCCGATTTACATTTCTTATACTAGTCCTTAAGTGTGTGGGAAAAGATCACCAATTGGGTTAAGAGAGTGATTTGAGGAATGGCTCCAGGTCACTGCTGAACTTCTCTGGGCCCTCATTTGTTCCAACTATAACTTAAGAAGAACAAATCCTTATTATTTTTCCAGGGCAACTCTGCGAGTTTGAGATGCTAATGTGCTGGCCGTTAAACCTTGACATTTTGTATTGTCAGGATAGGCTAGAGTATGATGAGGTTAAATAAAACTAAACTAAAACCTTTGTGCTATAACATGACACAAATTGATAATCTCACATGAAGTCCATGGCAGACCTGGGCCGCTCTCCAGGGTAGCTGTTCTCCGAGCCACAGTGTAGCAATCCTTGATGTTTAGATCCTGGAACTCTGCCATCTCGACACAGGTCCCCCTCCATGAAGGGAGGGGCAGGAGAAAAGAGACTGGAGAGACCCAGGGCACCACCACTCACAACCTGTTGGCCAGAACTTGTCGTCTGATCTCTCCCAAGTGTGAGGTGGAGGCAAGGAAGATACAGTTTTCCCATGTACCCAGAAGAATTAAGTGAGAACTAAAAGTCTCTTCTATGGAGTTATGTAAGAAAGTGCATGGAATATATAAAATGATATAAAATATTTTTTAAAACATAAATAATAGTACAGGGAATTATCAATATGCTCACAAGTACCTAAAAAATAGAATATTTGTTACCAAGACTCAGTGACATGCTAGGGGAGTTGAAGCCAATTCTAACAGTTCCTTCTCTCAGAGAACTTTCTCTCTTGTTGAGAAGACAAGATATGCTTCAAAGAAACAAGGTAGCTAGAAATAGCAGAAAGAGCTCTGTGTTAGGAGCCAGAATACATGGATTCTACCACCAGTTCTGTCACTTACTTATTGCATCATCTTGGGCAATGACCTTAGGCATTCTTGGGTTCCTCATCTGAAAACTGCATATAAGAGCATCTATCTACCTTACAGGGCTACGCTGAGGACCAGATGAAATGACTTACATGCCTGAGTACTGTGAATGACAAAGCGTCCTCCACATATAAGCTATAACTGGAGAACAATACAAAATATAGCAACAATAGTATTTGAACCATTTATTGAGCAGCTACTCTTTTATAGACTATATTTTACACAAGATTTCGCTTCTTGGAGTTTGGCTATGGATTTAAACGGAATGGAGAAGGAAGAAAAACCAATTCCATGTGTGGTGAGTGGTTTGAAACAGATGAAGGGGCTGGATTTGTTAGCGTAAGGACTAGTGTTAAAGACAAAAAGAGATGAAACATTCCTGGAGATTTGTGGTTGCACAAAAATGTGAATATATTTAACACTACTGAATTGTACACTTAAAAATGCTTAAAATGGGGGTCCAGCCCCATGGCATAGTGATTGAGTTTGGTGTGCTCCACTTTGACAGCCCACGTTTATGGGTTTGGATCCCAGACATGGACCTACACCACTCATCAGCCATGCTGTGGTGGCTACTCACATACAAAAAAGAGGAAGATTGGCAACAGATGTTAGCTCAGGGCAAAACTTCTTCAGCCAAAAAAAAAAAAAATGCTTAAAATTGTAAATTTTATGTTATGTGTGGTTTACCACAACTAAAAATTAAAAAACAAAAACCAATAAAATAGAAAAAGACAAAAAGAAGGTGGATCTGAATAGCACAAACGGTTTCTGAGAAACCCGAGTAGTTGTAGGAAGGGGCCCATTGATGGAGAAATTTTCAAGGCAGGCTGACAAGAGTGGCCTAGATGCAGGTGTTGATAGGAAGCCATAATAGGTTCTTCAATAGGAAAGTGACATGACCATAATGCTGTTTAACAATATTAATTGGGCACAATATTCAGGATGAATATTTACATCTAGAGAGAGGCTGGGAGCATGGTCCACATACACTTGTTTCTTGAATCTAGAAAAACGTGGCCAAGGTCTGACCTAGGGAATGGAGAGGAAGAAAATTTGGCTGTGAAGACAATAACCAACACATTGTACCATTGATTAGAAAAGGAGGATAATGGAAAGAGAACAAAGATGCCCCCAAGTTTGAATCTGGAAGGTGGAAAAATGACTTTGCCCCTTTTTTTGTTAGTGCCATCAAGTCGTCTCTTACTCCTAGTGACCCTGTGTACAGCAGAGCAGAATCCTGCCCGGTCTTTTTGTGCCATCCTCTCACCTACCAGCACTATATCAGACAATGCTCTGCCACTAATCCTGGGGTTTTCATGGCCAATTTTTTTGGAAGGGGTTGGCCAGGTCCTTCCTAGTCTGTCTTAGTCTGGAAGCCCTGCTAAAACCTGTCCGCCACGGGTGGCCCTGCTGGTATTTAAAATACCGGTGGCATAGCTTTCAGCATCACAGCAACATGCAGCAGCCACAGTATGACAACTGACAGACAGATGGTGTGGTTCCCTGACCAAGACACGAACGCGGGCCTTGGTGGTGAGAGTAAAGTGCCAAATTTTAAACACTAGACCACCAGAGCTGGCTACACCTTTTATTTGCTACCATCTAAGGAGCACCACCTTAAATAATTTGACACAATGGAAAATTATGTGATTACTCAATAATAAAGTGAGAGCTGAAGATAAATTGTTCATTTTAATCTATTTGAAGTGGCCACATGAGCCCCTCATTAGAAAAGTAGTGTTAAACCAAGGTTTGAGAAGTATACGTCATACCTCTATTCCATCCCCCTTGATGGCCATCTCCCCATTACCTCCAAACAAATCCACAGTCCTGAGCATAACACTAACACGCAAGGTCTTAGAGAGTCTGGCCATGCCACACTTTTTTGAACCTTTAACTCTCTGCATCCTCTCATTTGCCCTCATGCTTCCAACACCAGACTCTTCAGGCTTCCACAAGCAGGCCATGCGGTTTCCCACCTTTGCTTCTTCAGTTCCCTCTGTATGGAATGCTCTCTCCTTCTTTGTGAAGGAACTTGCCATGCCTTGCCCCATGCCTGCCTCAATGTAATTTTGTTCTTCTAGCATACAATTTGATTAATTCCATTTGGAGTTATGACTAACTGAATACATGTTCTTCTATCTCTAGGGTGACCACTTCATCCAAATCTGTCCAGCACCCTCCCCATTTTAAAACTGGAAGAACCATGTCCCAGGAAACCCATCAGTCTCAGGCAAACTTTGGTGGTTGGTCACCCTACACTTCCTTTGTTGTATCACAAGGCAAAGGACAGAGAGGGCATCTGTGGTGTTTCTGGGGTTTTTTTGTGTATGTGTGTGAGAAAGATCAGCCCTGAGCTAACATCCGATGGCAATCCTCCTCTTTTTTGCTGAGGAAGATCGGCCCTGGGCTAACATCCATGCCCACCTTCCTCTACTTTATATGGGATGCTGCCACTGCATAGCTTGACAAGCAGTGCATTTATGCACACCCAGGATCCGAACCTGTGAGCCCTGGGCTTCCGAAGCAGAGCACACGCACTTAACCGCTGCGCCACCAGGCCAGCCCCTGAGGTATTTCTGTAAATACTTTATTTGTATGGTCTCAATCATCACAGCCACCAACAAGAAAGCTGTTATTATTCTATTTTACAGATGAGAAGACTGAGGCTCAGAGATGGTAAGTAACGTGTTTGGGAAATTGAGCTGGGATTGGAACCGAAGATGTCTGATTTTTGAGCCCATTCAGTGGAAAGCCAGACATCAAAGGAGTTAGAGCAGGAGACTGACAAATGTTTCCCTGTGTTTCTCTCTTAGCCAAACCCTGCTTTTCTTAATAAAGAATTATTTATTCTATATTCCCGATGTGGTAATGATTAGTTAATACATGTTCATTGAATTGAGATGAACTGATTGATAGGCACCTATTGTGAAGAATAAGAGAAATGGCTGAAGAGTAAGGGAGTCATGAAAGAGAAATATTAACTAATTTTCAACAGTACAAAAAAGAAAGAAAGATAGCAATGGCGCTTCTGGTTAGAGCTTAAGATAAAATTATGTCTAGTCTGACTGCTCTCCAAGTCTCACCTCCTTTCAGTCAGATGGGAACTAGGCCCTTTTTTCAACATTTTCTAGAACATTTCCAAGTATTACTTCTCATTATTCTTATATTATTCCATTTGCATGTTAAGCATACAGTGTAAAGGCTGGAAAACAATGAAACATGCAAATAAGGAAGCCGAAAGTGTTCTTTGAAAAGTTAAGTGATGAAAAGTAATGGCATTCAAGTTCTTTAAATGCAATGCATTATCTCTTAAATCGACTTTTCTGTTCCTTTTCTACCTTCCCCCTGCTTTTGTTACTCTCAGAGTTGAAAAAATATAATTCTACTTTTGTAAGGAAAAGTAACTTTTTGAGTTTGAATTATTTGTTTTTAATCTTATAAATATAAAGTCTTTTTTGAAAAAATGTTTAACCTGGATGGAAAATTCTATGACAATGTGCCATCATTGCTATTTGAGATAGGTTATCAAATTAATCCAGATGCATTTAGCACTGAATATTCTTAAATTTTGAGCTGTCACGGGGATCAAGGCTTTCTCCCTTTTTAGGCCAGAGTTAGTAACCTGAACTCAATTAAGGGATGTTTTCAACCAATTAGATCATCACATGGCCACTCAGGGCTTCATTGTGAGGAGCTGCATTTTATAATTTCTGTTTACATAAAGTAAGCTTTTAAATTGTTCTCTCCTATAATCTGCAAGCTCTTAGAAGAAAAGAAACCATTTCTACTTTATTAACCTGCTTTTTAAAGTGCCCAAAATAGCCCTCCGCAAGGATCATTTGAGAATAAATGTTTCTTCATGGCAGTAGGGAGGATGGCCACAGAAACATTCTTCAAGGATGCTGGAGTGGTCAGTAAAGCATTGTGAATCTATTTTTAAATAAATTCAAAAGATCTATGTGCACGCAGAATATCTTATGATATTCTGAGCCAAGCCCCAGTCATCTCACT